TCCTGTGTTGCTGGGTAGGTGGTGTTTTGCCTGCTTGAGTATCATGTATGCTAATATTTTAGAAATTTTATGGTTTCTAGTGTTACGTTCTATTGTGTCGGTGGCGACGATTAGTGAGGCTTCTAGACACCGTCGGCGTCTGAGGTCTGGTTCGGTGAGAACGCGTTGTGCCTCATCCCATTTCATCAAATGCCTCGTAGAGCCTCTGTGGATGACACAAGCGTACCTTGATTAAATCGTCTCTGTTACTGGCACTTCGATGCTCGTTCAAGCGAACCGCAAGATCTCTGCCTGTTTCGCCTACATATTTCCTCATCCCAATATGTCATTCTTCAGGTCACCATGCGTCACTCACACCTCACCTATATATACTGTCTCAACCTCTGTATGTTAGAAGTGATCAAGGTCCCGGGACCTAGTGCTAGCTTGTATCTTTCTAAGCCAGCATAATCCTCCTCCGCCTCTACTGTTCTCTGCTCTACTGTTGTACTTTGTAGCTATTTGTTGATTTACTCTGGTGCTTTATGGTCACGTACTATTCTGACGTGTGTATGTTCATTTATTTTGCCCTACTGGAGTGTACGTTGATGTACTCTGCACTACTGGAGTGTACGTTGATGTACTCTGCACTGCTGGAGTGTACGTTGATGTACTCTGTACTGCTGGAGTGTACGTTGATGTACTCTGCTCTTCTGGAGTGTACATTTTTGTTCTACCATTGTTCCTCAGTCTCACACTAGTACAGCCTCTCTTAACGACGGAGTTCCGTTCCTAAGACCACGTCGGTAAACGAATTCGTCGCTAAATAAGGAGCATACTATAATTGTAGTGGGTTATAGTCAAGCATCTTTGATATTGTTTTAATGTTACCTTTGCACCATTTATAACATTTCTGGTATATTTTTAAATGTTTATACAGCGTTGTACTGTATATCGTAAGAAACAAAATTGAGGAAATCAGCTCTAATATACATTATTTAGATAAGCATACTGGTCAGAGTCGTCGGTAAACGAATACGTCGCTAAGTGAGGAGAGGCTGTACTCATAAATTGAGTAACACTGAGAAAAGTAAGAGACAAGTGCAGCTGGTTGGTTAATTGTGCTTCAGACCTATCAAATATACCAGGGTCTTTACGACTGCTTGTTACCTGCACACTACCAGTCACTACTCCAGGGTTATTAGGGCTGCATGTCACCTGCTCACTACGCCTTTACCAGGTACTCACCTATTTGTGGTTGCAGGGGTCGATTCATAGCTCTTGGCCCCACCTCTTCGCTGATTGCTACTAGGTTCTCTCTCTCCCTGCCCCATGAGCTTTATCATACCTCGCCTTAAAACTATGTATGGTTCCCGCCTCCACTACGTCACTTTCTAGGCTATTCCATGACCTGACTACTCTGTGACTGAAGAAATACTTCCTAACATCCCTTTGATTCATCTGAATCTTCAACTTCCAATTGTGACCTCTTGTGTCTGTGTCCCTTCTCTGGAACATCCCGTCTTTGTCCACCTTGTCTATTCCGCGCAGTATTTTATATGTCGTTATCATGTCTCCCCTGACCCTCCTGTCCTCCAGTGTCGTCAGGCCGATTTCCCTCAACCTTTCTTCGTAGGACAATCCCCGTAGCTCTGGGACTAGTCTTGTTGCAAACCTTTGCACTTTCTCTAATTTCTTGACGTACTTGACTAGGTGTGGATTCCAAACTGGTGCTGCATACTCCAGTATGGGCCTGACGTAAATGGTATACAGAGTCTTGAACGAATCCTTACTGAGGTATCGAAACGCTATCCGTAGGTTTGCCTGCGCCCGTATGCTGCAGCAGTTATCTGATTGATGTGCGCCTCAGGAGATATGCTCGGTGTTATACTCATCCCCAGATCTTTTTCCTTTAGTGAGGTTTGCAGTCTTTGGCCATCTAAACTATATTGTGTCTGCGGTCTTCTTTGCCCTTCCCCAATCTTCATGACTTTGCATTTGGCAGGGTTAAACTCAAGGAGCCAGTTGCTGGACCAGGCTTGTAGCCTGTCCAGGTCTCTTTGTAGTCCTGCTTGATCCTCATCCGATTTGATTCTTCTCATTAACTTCACACCGTCCGCAAACAAGGACACTTCTGAGTCTATCCCTTCCGTTATGTCGTTCACATATACCAAGAACAGCACAGGTCCTAGGACTGACCCCTATGGAACCCCACTTGTCACAGGCACCCACTCTGACACCTTGTCACGTATCATGACTCGTTGTTGCCTCCCTGTCAGGTATTCTCTGATCCATTGCAGTGCCTTTCCTGTCATGTGTGCCTGATCCTCTAGCTTTTGCAGTAACCTCTTGTGAAGAACTGTGTCGAAGGCCTTGCAATCCAAAAAAATGCAGTCGATCCACCCCTCTCTCTCTTGTCTTACTTCTGTCACCGTGTCATAAAACTCTAGTAGGTTTGTGACACAGGATTTTCCTTCCCTGAAACCGTGCTGGTTGTCAATTATACACTTGTTTCTTTCCAGGTGCTCCACCACTCTCCTCCTGATGATGATCTCCATGACCTTGCATACTATACACGTTAGTGATACAGGTCTGTAGTTTAGTGCCTCATGTCTGTCTCCCTTTTGTTCTTCCCATTATTTCTGTTTCCCTTGGGAACATACCTCTCGTCTGCCTCCTTGCATTTTGTCGCCACATAGTCCATCATTTCTTGTACTGGTTTTCCTGTCAGTTCCCTCTCCCACTGAATGTCTTAAAGGAAGTTCCGCATGCCTGAGTAGTTCCCCCTTTTGTAGTTTGGTTTTTCCCACCCTATTCCTGCTACTCTCTCCACTTGGAGCTCAACTATGTAGTTGAAGCACAGAACCACATGATCACTAGCTCCCAGGGGCCTTTCATACATGATGTCCTCGATGTCCGAACTACTCAAGGTGAATACAAGGTCCAGTCTTGCTGGTTCATCCTCTCCTCTCCTCTCTCTGGTAGTGTCTCTAACATGTTGATGCATGAGGTTTTCCAGTACCACATCCATCATCTTAGCTCTCCATGTTTCGGGACCCCCATGGGGCTCCAGGTTTCCCCAATCTCCTTGTGATTGAAATCACCCATAACTAGTAACTTTGCTCCCCCCATGTGTGCTCTCCTGGCCACCTCGGCTAGTGTGTCGACCATTGCTCTGTTGCTCTCATCGTATTCTTCTCTTGGCCTCCTGCAGTTCTGTGGTGGGTTGTACATTACTGTAATTATCATCTTATGTCCCTCAGACTGGATTGTTCCTACTAAGTAGTCCCTTTCGCCCGTGCCATCCATTCCTTCCATTTTCTCAAAACCCCACTGGTTTTTAATGAGCAGTGCAACTCCTCCTCCCCCTCTCCTCCCTCTGTCTTTCCTGAGGATTTGATATCCGGATGGAAAGATTGAATCTGTTATTATTCTGGTGAGTTTTGTTTCTGTGAGTGCTATTATGTCTGGGGATGTCTCCTTGATTCTTTCGTGCCACTCCTCATACTTATTTGTTATTCCATCTGCATTTGTATACCACACCTTCAACTTCTTCTCTAAGACTGTGGTCTGGTAGATGTATTGGGGTTGGGGAAGTGGGAGACCTGATAAGGAACTATGGGTGGTTGCTGTGGGGGTGGAGTTTGTAATGCAGTGGGTGGGGGCATTAGATGTGGCATGGGTGTTTTGGTTTAGAGTGCTTGGTTGCACTGGGGTTGACCTGGTTGGGTCATTAATGTTGCGTGTCATCTGTTCACCATCATCAAAGATACTTTAGTAACTAAGATAACGATTAAACTAAACTGTCAGGTGATGAGATACACACAGTGAGATACCACTCGCTGTGTATACCTGGAGTATACTTGGAAAGGGTTTCCGGGGGTCAACGCCATCGCGGCCCGGTCTCGTATACAGAAAGTGTATGTGGTATTTATCGACTTTTTTTTCCCCCCATAATATGTAACAAGTTTAATGACTGTGCAGCCCCCCCCACCCCAAAAAAAAATAATTAAACCACGAAAATATAAAGTCAAGTTGCCACTACCTAAAATGTGCCCGGTCTGAGTATTTAGTGCGCGGCGCTTGATTGATTGTTGCGCCTCTGCGCAAGCGCACAGCACACACGGGAACACTTGAGTTGTAGTACCTCCCTGGGTGGTTGCTACCTACCAATCCACCAGCTGCCACCGGTATTAGTGTCAGCGGTTGTGTGTGTGACAGTTTAATATATAATAGACCTGCTGTACCTCCCTGAGTGTTAGTGTCTGCCAGCTTACCATGCACGTCTTCTACTGGGTGGTAATAAGACAGTATGTGAGGTGAATGGTATATAATACCGACAGGATGAAGAACTAGACATGTGCAACATCTGGGTAGCTTTATTTGTAGACGTTTCCCCAACCAGTGACTTTATCAATACAAGGACACGATGTGAAGAATGTAGAACTATATACAAAAGATGAAATAATTAGTCCCTCAGCCTTAGAGTTGAAGAGCACCGTAGTCTTCAACTCTAAAGGCTGAAGCTTAGCGCTTCTTTTTTGATTATAATAATAATAATAATAATAATAATAATAATAATCTAAAGGCTGAAGGACTGATGAGGTAATCAGTTCTTTTGTATCTAGTTCTACATTCTTCACATCATGTCCTTGTATTGATAAAGCCACTGGTTGGGGAAATGTCTACAAATAAAGCTACCCAGATGTTGGGCATGTCTAATTCTTCATCATAGTATTAAAGACGATTAATAAAGTAGGTCCCGGTGGATGAAGCGTCGTGTTAATAAATACCATAAATCTTATATTGTATCACATACTTGTTGATATATAATACCAACGATATAAACTGTGTATTGGGTGTGAATTTGTGTTCGTGACCGTCAGGTATACAAATGTTCCAATTGTTGGAAACGTGGTGAGAGGTAGTGATGTTTTTGCAAGCTTGTTTGCCTCTTTCACCTAAACTGAGTTTTGTTCAAGTGTTGATATAGCGTATCTAATAATGTGTTGGCCCCTCAGAAGTGTGTTACAAGCAGTAAGATAATCTAACAGTTGGTCGGTGTGTTTACTAGTGTGAGCGAGAAGTTGCTGATACAAGTGATGTATGTGCTTGAGTAAGGAGGCCATTGTTGCGGTTAGTGTTACATACCAGTGAGTGCATACGAGTGGCTACAAGCACAGATGCACTCTTCAACCCAGAGTGCCATAAATAGCGAGTGTGTGTTTTGAGTGCTGGACAAGGAAGGCGTACGTGCATGAGTGTACGCGCGCGTACACCTGCCTGCTTCTGCCACTACCACAGTTTCTTCGTGCTGTCACACCTGCCTCAGCTCCCATGGTGCTCAATAGGTAAGTGTAGTCTTGTGTACACGTACAGTTTTATTTCTATAATCTCTCGCTCGTCGTCTTAACATGTACTAGTTCTTGTTTTAACGTATGTTACTCGTGACTTTTATTATTGATAAGTAGCTTATTCTCGCAGTAACACCCGTAATGCTCAATAGGTAAGTATAATATAATAATGTCTTCATTTATACAAGTACATGTACAAGGTATGCAAGTCTAGCTGACATCAGTGACATAACAAAGAGCTTTCTATATAGTATTATATAGAGCATTTCTGACAAATTAGGTCAGTTTTGTCCCAGGATGCGACCCACACCAGTCGACTAACACCCAGGTACCCATTTTACACTGATGGGTGAACATGGACAGCAGGTGTCTTACGGAAACACGTCCTAATGTTATCCAGCCATACCGATGATTCTATCTCCGGACCTCACTGCGTGAGCCGAGTGCGCTCTTTGGGTGTAGGTTCTCGCCTCCACCTGTACCGTCTGTGTTTATGGATACCCACAAACTGAAACCATTAAGGAATGATAATATAGTTGGAAAATTTAGAAGTGACAGTTTCACTTGTTTTAAGTTATTTTTCAAGTGTGTAGAACACACAAAGTACTAACTTGAAAATACTTGTAAACCAAGTGAAACATTGTCATTTACGTAGTTCTCTACACTGTATTAACGTCTTATTTGTTCCAGTGTTGAATTTTTTTTTTATCTCAACCTTATATTTATGATGATTAATAACTGTGCAACACGTATATCTTATTACCGAAGATATGGCCCAGCATAACAGGCTGCTATATTAGTGATCTTTATTTAAAGCCTAGGCATACGGCCAAACCTTACATACTAGAGCAGAAGTGAGGTAAATCAGTTGGTTATGCTAAACAGTTGTTTAGCAAAATAGTTGCAGAAGACTTCCCCTGAGGATGAAGCTTATAACAGCGTTCATCTTTGGTCTGTTGTGATGTGTAGGTTTTCTGTACGCCTTCAACAATAGTTATTATTCTTCAGTGTAAAGGAATACACGGAGAAAGGGTAAGAGGGGTGCCGTTTTCCTCAACCGTTAACTTGATAGTGGATCTAGGTTGTTAGTGGTTTTCAAGGCTCAAACATGACTAGTGCATTGTTTACCTACCATATGCACGAGTTGGGTATGGTGGTCTGGATATGGTTAGCTTTGAAATCTTCCATAATTAGATAGCTAGGACGGCGGCACTGAGAGGCTAGCTCATAACCAGGCTAAACTGTTGTATGTATTTGTTGTTGTCAAAGCTGAAGCAGTTGTAGCGCTTGTACAGTTCTGTCAAATCGATGATCTCTTGGCGTAACACAGCTGAACGCCACCCTGCGGTTCAATCTCAGACTAGGCGTCTGGTGGATGGCCTGAACAACGAGGCTGTTGGTGGTGCTAGCCTCACGAAGTCAGTTATACACAACACCCCGGGTGCTTAAACAGTTACTTGAACTTAAATTCTTCTGAAGACAGCCAGAGGTCTGTTGGTGATAACCGTTTGGTAAATATCTAGTCAAGACAGGACTCGCAGCAGTGGTTTTCAGTTGGAAAAATTCAGATTCAGGAAGGATATAGGAAAGCACTGGTTTGGTAAGAGTTGTGGATGAGTGGAACAAACTCCCGAGTACCGTCATAGAAGCTAAAACGTTGTAGTTTGAAAAATAGGTTAGATAAATACATGAATGGGTGCGAGTTGGACCTGACTGAGGAAATGGTATGGTGATACCAACAAGATGTGGAAAAAGACACTTACGTACAGTTCAGGACATTTATTTTTTTTATTTATTATTAATTTGGACATGATACATAGATGTACCAATTGTATATTGTACCATTGTATATAGATCATTATGGGCAGGCTTAAAATTAACTTAAGATTAACTAAGCAATGATATATTCAGTGGTAAAAATTATAGTAAACAAATAACAATTAAGCACAAATGAGTATTTCAAAGACAGGTCATATGTTCATTTACTGAGTTGCTGAGCATTCAATAGAATGAAGTATTCTGTTAGGTAATGTAATTAAAAAAACAGTTTGATAGAGTCACAGGTTAAACATTTATGAGATACAGTTATTCAGTATTTATTTAGTTGTGGGTGAGTAAGTGTTTCTTTTATATTCACAGAGAAAAATACAGAGAAAACTAAGAAAACGTGTATATATAGTGGCAGGAGTCAGGTGAAGTGTCGCGTGGGTAGAGGTGGTAGTCGTAGTAGTAGTGGAACAGAGGTGAGACGGATGGTTACAGAGGGATCTGTTGACATCATGTAATATCAGTTTTCAGAATGGGTAATATCCTGTTGATTAGCAATTTTGAGATACTGTAACTACCGGACTTTTGCTTTATAGTGTTACTGACAGCAATTAGGGCAGCTTCTATGCATTTTCTCCGTCTTAGGTCGTCTTCATTAATCACTAATTTAGCCTCACTGAGTTTCATGAGGTGTCCAACATCGTCACTATGTTGAACACGCGTTTTTGCGATCATCATTTCTGTGTTCGGTGATCCTAATGTCCAAAGATGTGGCTGTTTTCCCTACATATACTTTGTCACACCCCCACATGGTATAGTGTAAATACCTGCACTTGTGCCAGAATCATGCTTGGGTTTTTGTATCAGGTTCGTAATGGTAGTTGAAGAGCTGGTAGACATTTTAGCCAGTTTTCTGTCAAACATTCTTGAAACGTTAGTGGCAACATTGCTGACCGGTAAAACGATGTAACTTGGGGCTTTTCTTCAACTTGATTGGTGTTGGACCTGACTGGCTTGTGCTAGTAGGTCCGATGCCGTGCTCCTTCCGTAAGTGAATGCGACCTGACCTGACTAGGTTGGGTCATTGGCTTAAGCCGGTAGGAGACTTGGGCCTGCCTCGCATGGGCCAGTAGGCCTGTCGCAGTGTTCCTTCTTTCTTATGTCTTAGTCTCTTCACACTGAGCTTTCCAATAGTGTACTCATTGCATTCCTGTTAAGACTCATTGTGAAGAGGTATGCTGGTAATACCTGTTATCCCGGAAGGGAAGGTGTTGAAGATTGTTGAAGGTCAGTGGCTTGGTCTTCCGCAGCATCATTCTCACTGTCGTGGTTCTCACTGTCGTGGGCACCAGCACCGGATGTGATACAAGTCTGTTTTGTACTGTATTATATGCTGGTCAAGACGCGTGGCTCAAGGGTACAACCTCTGGCTTGCAACCAGAAGACCAGAGTTCAAGTCGGGGGGGGGGGGGCATATTTCCATAAACCTGTTGACTCCTCCACTAAGTACGTACCTCAGTATTAGCAGACTGTTGTGGGTAGTATCTTGAAGAGGAATAAGACATGTCAGCACCCACTAAAACATATTTATTACAAAACGTTTTGGTTCTGAGACGTTGATTACTTGTAACACATACAGGTAGACAATAACATTACGGTATATACAAAAACACTGGCATGCATGATACTGGAATAGCACTTGTTTACTTTTGGATTGCATCTCTGAACAAACAATAGCCATTGTGATGTAATTCTTACACGACACACTTCTTATTTGTTAGAAATAGGGAAGTTTTATCATCAAGTTTTCACTATTGAAAGTGGTTCACAAAACTACTAAACGTCCCAGTGAAAAAATTTTGGCATCAGAAATACTGCTTAAGTATATACAAAGCATTTCATCAACATCACTGAGTGATCCAAGATTCTCAAGCTCGTGTAGTGAGCTGTGTCAGTGTTAACTAGGTGGGAGAGTTACACCACTGACTATACCTGGAGAGGGTTTCGGGGGTCATCGCCCCCGCGGCTCGGTCTGAGACCAGGGCTCGACTACACGATATTCGGCACATTTCTTTATCCCCGATATAACAATAAGTTTTTCAATGTCACTGCAGCGGATTAGTCATACACAAACCTTGACAACATTGAGAATGAACTGAAAGAATCTCTGGAGAGAAGTCATCAGACTCGTTGCTGCTGGCAGACCATCTGTACTAAGTCTAATAAAGTTGGTAGAATTACCAACAATATGTAAAGTAAAAGGACACAATTGCAACTAATGTGACATTTTTATTGTGGCAACATTTCGCTCTCCAGGAGCTTTGACAAAGCTCCTGGAGAGCGAAACGTTGCCACAATAAAAATGTCACATTAGTTGCACTTGTGTCCTTTCACTGTACTAAGTCTGTGGAAGAAAGTCAAGACGTAACAAACATTGAGCAACCCGAGTGTTTTGATCAGTGTTGTAAAATAATTATAGCCACCACTCCAACAGCACATCAAACATCTGCATCGGGATCCTTTAACAAATGTAAACAAAAAAGCCTCGAGAAGCCAACATGGTGGTATTGATGTTACCACAGACAAAAACAGACAAATATATGGCAGTGACGTTATTGCCTTAAGAAAATTCACTTATCGTACCTTTGATATAGGGTTTTGTCTACTGCCTGAGCCCGGCCATAGGCCAGGCTCGTCTGGTGCTAGCCTGATCAACCAGGTTGAAGCTGTTGGTGGCTAGCAGCCTCGCATATCCATCACAGCGTAGTTGATCTGGCAAACTGGGCTAGTAAATGAGTTCATCTCTTGTTCAATAAAGAGTAAAAGATTGTTCACCACTGGAATGATCATCTAGTAAGTTCATTCAGGTACACACAGATACAGTTACGTAGATTATCATACATGGCAGCATGTGTGTAGACAACCTGGGATAACACAAGTCACTGACTTAGTTCCATCGTGGTCTACTTAACTAATAACACGTTAACTTATGAACATGTTTAGAGACTTGACTCTAGAAACTTGTCAAAGGTATGAAGCTATATCCTTATGGTGGAGAATTTTTAATTTTTAGTTATTGGAGTATTGTCTAATTATTTTTAATTCAGGTACCACAATATTTTTTTTTATTAAAAAATTGAGTTATGGAAATGTTGGTTAATTCAGTTTAATAATGGAAAAATTGTTAGTTTTGAATTATAATTATAAACTTCCAGTCACGTTTTACAGTT